TAACGTCAACGTAGCTATAATTTATGCTTTGCTTACATGTCCGCATAACTTGGAAGTTTACTGACATTTACATACCTTGTTCACCTGGCTCAAGTGGTGGCTATGGGGTTGTTGTGTGAGCCACCACTTGAGAATTGTCATCTTTTTTAAGACATTATTTTCTCATGTCCATCTTCAACTTTCTTCAAGTTAAATGTAAAAACGGATATCAGATAAGTGTAAATAAGACAAATGGCCCATATATGTTGTCAATATTTACACTTTATTCTATATTGGTAGTTTTCCGACTCTGATCTACAGCTGTGACACAACAATTCTCCTGGGTATCAATAAAGTTTTATCCAAAGTTTTTGGGAAATGGTTTAAATGTATTGTTGGCTTGCAGTTTACCACGGTTTGATCTTCTTGGTTTTTTAGTGAGTACACCTTTATTTCTGTCATTTTCTATATAACGTAATTTCCCTTTTTATATTTACAGATATACTCCCCCAGATGTGTGCTCATCAGGTGTTGCGTATTTTAAAATGAGTCTCTGTCTTGTTTGTTCCTGTGGTTAGAAGTGTGATCAGCTAGTATGAGTCACTTCTATTTTATTATTAGATTTCCTAAATTGTTGTACCTTTTTCTAATGTGTCTCCGATCAACATTGGCTTTTCTGTTCTTTTTAAGGTCTTATAATATATATAATATATCTGTAGTCTTTAGAGTTCAGCCAGACTGTAGCTGAGCATGTTGTACCTTCACAACACAGGAAACTACCTCTAACGCAATTTGCTAAAAGATGTCTTCCTTACAGAGAAATCTGTATCCCAAAATAAATGTTCAGCTTCACAGGAAGTCCCTGCAAATGCATGCTTTTTTTCACTTGCTGGGTCCATTAACATCTTACAATATAAGAGAGAAATAACTAGTTTTCAGAGGAAAAACAACAGAACAGCAGTAAAATGCTTCTACCCAGTGTAATGAAGAATATTGTATAATGTATCAGTAAATAGAAATACTTCAATGATATTGACTTTAACCTAACATATGTTTGTATGTATGTATAACATTAGGGAAGATGGGGCTGTATTGATTCAACTCATGAAGTGTTTTTGCTGATGAATGTGGAATTAAAAATGAATAATTCATGTATTGAACACATGATATTTATAAACTATAATGTTGAGTAAAAAAAAACAACGCATTACAATATATATTAATATTAATATTATTAATCTTAAATTAAAGTTTTCTTCTTAATGGACTAACAGCTCTTCTCCTGCCTCGGTAAATTAAGCTAGCTCCAGGACTGTTTCACTTAACCGTTAAAAAACGTTATTTTCAGTTTGAATTTAAATGTTAGTACATTACATTTAGAAGTATGAGAACAAAATGTGATGATACTACGGGTGAAATGTTAAAGTTATATTGTGTTTTAACTAGGGCCGGGACTCGATTAAAAAAATTAATCTAATTAATTAGAGGCTTTGTAATTAATTAATCGAAATTAATCGCATTTTTAATCACATATAAATATTTGACCTGAGAACAGTGAGAAGCAATTTTTTTTCACATGGATTTTAGTATACCATTAGGCGCATTCACACCGCAGTACTTTTCCCACAAAGGTTCATGAGAACTTAGTTCATGAGAACAAATGAAGCCGCTGACGTCACTTCTTCTTCTTCTGCTTTGGGTTTACTGGCAGGCCGCAAACCACTTCACGGCGTATACTGCCGCCCAAAGTCCCCGGCCGGAAGTCCCCGGAGTTGGGGACTGGCTTCAGTAGAAGCTGCTGGGAGTCCCAGCAGCTTCTACTGAAGCCTTCCGAGTAAATCGCCAGAACGCCGACACCTCCTCATCTCCACCGCTCCCATGTTTTATTTTGTGTTGCCATAAGTTAGTCTCTCTGCGTTTCTGCGCTGGGCTAATGCTAATAATGCTAATGCGAGGATATGGCGACAATGGCGGCTTCACAAACTTTTTGGGAGTTTTACGGGGCGTGGTTTGCAATCCGCCCAGCCAATCAGACATATAGCTCTCTTCTCACAAGAGAGCCGTGTTTCGTGGGGTGAACTAATTTTAGTACCGGCTCTTTTTGGTGTGAACGCGATAAAAGAGGCTACGTCCACGCTAGCTTCCACGCTAGCTGCTATATGTTTTGCATTGAGGTGATACTTGAGGCTTGATGTGCTGCGGTGATATGCGAATTCCTTTTTGCATAATTTGCAAACAACCGTGCTCTTATCGACGCTTCCACCCGTCCGTTTTTTAAAACAACATTTCCCACTGTTGTTCACTGTGGTTTGTTGTTGTCTGAAGTCATGAACGTTAGTTGGTGCTCCAGTATAATCGGTACGCCTGAAACTCATCCAGTGAGAAACGTTCCGCGGTGCAAAAATAAGTGCGATTAAAATGCGTTAATTTTTTTAACGCGTTAATTTTTGTGTAATTAATTAATCTTAATTAACGCGTTAAAGTCCCGGCCCTAGTTTTAACTTTTAACTATCGACAAACTAAAACATTTTTACGTTTTACAGTGCAGTTTCCGGTGTTAGAAAGTGACGTGAGAAGAACGAGCTGCTGCTGCGTTTCATATTGTTGATCTTAGAATGAGCAGAAAGCGATGAATAATATAAGAGCACAGTTTAATTTAGTTTTAACAGTTACATAAAAGTGACACTTTTCAATGGAGAAGGTACAAAGAACATCAGGAGGGCCGTTTTCTTCTTAATATGCTAACCTCACTTCACCTGCCTCGGTAAGTTAAAGGGGACCTATCATGCAAAATGCACCTTTGTACGTCTTTTAAACATGAACATGTGTCCCCGGTGTGTCAGGGAAATCACCAAGTGTCAGAAACACAACCCTCTCTCTTTTCCTCCATACCCAAATCTCTAAAAACGGGGCTGCAACGGATCTGACACAGACTGATACAGATTTGAAAATTCTCTGACGTCAGGAACGAGGAGCTCCGCCTATATGGCCAACTCTCCACCTATCAGGGGAATGTGGGGTTGGGCCACCGCCGGCCATTGCCGCTCGAAAGCGCTGGAGGCGCTGTAGTACATATGCCAGGCCTGTAAGTGGCGCTGTAGTCTGCCACAAAAGCAGCGAAGAAGACTTCCCGCGCATGGTTGCCATGGTTGCCCTTCTGTTTATTCTCCGCTGTGGCTCTTTTTCTCCCTCCCCGAGGCAAGCGTTTGCTCCTGCTGCTGTAATTCAATGCAATCCCTCCCTCGCTGTAATTCTCTCCGGCGGTAGTCCACCAGCAGATGACAAACACCCACCTTTCCGCCTCTTCCAAGGAACGAGGGGACCGTGCGGCAGAGTTTCAGTTAGATTTTTTTCCGCCGGTCAACATGTTCGTTAAAGTTTAAATCTTCCGTACAAAATTAGAAAAGTGCCGGTCAAAGGTCTTCTTTGTTATTTATTGAGCTTTAAAACAAATGAATAATGACTCTATATAATCATATAAGAATAAAACACGGAGGACGGAGATCTCTTTTCCTCCCCCTCTTCTGACAGCCCAGCAGCTGATCTCAGAGCAAGCTCCCCTCTCCTTCAGGGGGGCGTGGTCAGCTACGTCACAGAATCAGCCCCCTGCAAAAACAGGGCTGGAAAGAGCAAATAGAGCAAAATGAGGCATGGCTAAAATGCAGGATCTGTTTGGTATTTTGAAAAAAAAACTATATTTATCTACTTCATATAGGTATGGCCCTACAATATATTGTTCAAATATAGCATGATAGGTCACCTTCAAGCTAGCTCCAGACTGATTCTGTTAGCCGTGTTCTGTTAAAAAATAAATAAATAAAATTAACATTAGGGCAGAGGGTGGGAAGTAACTAAGTACATTAACTCAAGTACTGTAAACAATTTTGAGACACTTTGAGATATTTCCATTTTCTAATACTTTTTACTCCACTACAATTTAGAGGTAAATGGTGTACTTTTACTCCACTACATCTATTTATTCTCTTGGTTTACTTTGCACATTTTGATAATTAATGTGAAATATAATCAACACTTAAATCAGACTTTAGTTCCACCTGGAGTCAATTCACAAGCTACCCTGCAGCATGTGGAATAACTAAAACTAGCTGCACCTTTACCAGCTTTGATAACACTTTAATGATCAATCATTATAATCAAAACATATATTATTCTGGAATCGGTGAATTTACATATTTAATAATTATATTCGTGGTACTTTAAGTATTGAGGCTATTCATGTTACTTTACTTTAGTAACCTTTTGAATACATGACTTTTACTTGTAACAGAGTATTCCTACACTGTTACTTCTACTTTGACTTAAGTACAAGACCTGAGTACTTCTTCCTTCTTTCGGGGGAACAATGTGATGAAACTACGGATATAGTTTTGAGTAATATTTGTTTTTCTACTGTTGTCTCAACAACATATACATGAGCAAGTGAGCGTTGTAGTGAAATGATGGAAATTAAAAGTTTACTAATTTTGCCAATATCTGCCTGAATTAAGCTTCCGTGTTAACCTTATTTGTACATAACTAACTGGTTCTTTACTTGAGTATTTAAATGCAATGCTTCTAGATTTGATATTTGTTTACTCAACTATAGATATCTGACACTCAGTTAGGCTACTTGTAACGTTTGACATATGAAACATGATAATATGATGCAGGACTCTACTACTTGTATCAAATTGGCTCCACCTTGACACACTACAACATTAAAATGCTCCTAACTGTATTTGTTAGACGTAAAAACAGAATATACTATTCTATAATAAAACAACACTGTGAAATTGAGAGATGAGATTGGTGCATAATGATAACTTTTACTGGAACTGAAAGTACATTTTGCTGATAATTACTAGCATTTTGAATTCAGTTCAACTTTCAATGGAGTATTTTTAGACCATAGTGTTCCTGCGTTGGGGAGGAGAGGAGAGCTGTGTTGTGTTTGGAGGAGGGACTTCATCATTTAAAGAAGTAACAAGTTCCTGGTTAGCCAGTAAAGAAAGACAGTCAGCGGTAAACCATCAGAGTCTCAGCATGGAAGTCTCTCACACTTTGATCTGCTTCTTCTTCCTCTTCTGTGAGTACTTTATTTTCATCTCAGTAATTTCTTTTTTTTTTCTTTTTCTGTTATTCTTGAGTTAATGCAAGGCTCCAGCAGTACGAGTTATTCACATATTCCAAAATTAGGCTTTTTAATACCATCCAACCAATGAAGTATGCTTCACTTCCTCAAACTAACTGTACATCATCATCAAACTCAGTTATTATCTGCTCACTGAATTAGTAACATGTAGTCATTAAGAAATAATGAATATGATTGTTTTCATAATCATTTAATCTGCAAATAATTTTCTTGATTCATTTATTAATCTTTTGATTTGTATTCTGCCGCTAATGTTATTTTAAACTTTTTATCATATTTGTATCTTATTGTATCTTTTAAACATTTATAACTCGCGTACAGCTTGACACTGCTGCTGGAACTAAAATGATTTCCCAATTTGGGATAAATAAAGTTTATATCTATCTATCTAAGTGTTTTGTCCAAAAACGTCATAAATAAAAAAAAAGGTGGTGTTGACATAAAACACTTTTTAGGTGATGTACTTTAAGGATTTGCGTTAATGTAACGCTTAAAGTAAGAGATGGAGACTTCATGTAGTCTTTGTGTCTAAAGGATAATGTCTCAGATCAAACGGTCACATTAACCTGCAGTGCTGATGGTGATCTTCAGTCACAGGCTGTGGTTTAACTCTGAGGATCTGTGTTCATGTGAAACAGGAAGTGTTGTCATCAGACTGCAGCATCTTACAGGAAGTACTGACCACTACTAATGATGGCTCATCTTTTGTTCATCTTTTGTTCAGCTCTGCAGGATGGAAACACCGGTCTCGTCAGTGCCCGACTCTCTGTCTATTCAGGAATTGAAGGAGACGATGTCAGATTTAAATGCTCCTTTCCTTCTTATAGAAGCAGGAAGTTCTTCTGTAAGGAACCATGTAGACAAGAAGACATTCTCATTGAAACAACTGGTGCCTCAGCTCAGAGTGGCAGATACAGCATTGATGATAAAGATGGAGGTTTTTTTGTCACCATCACTCAGCTGACCAAGTCTGACTCAGGACGCTACAGGTGTGCTGCGGTTACATCTTTGACATGGGCTTTATACGAGGATATTGAGATCATCGTTGTTGATGGTGAGTTTCTACTAAAACTGAATCTTCTTCCTTGTCTTAATAATAGTTTTACCTTTTCACCATTACCTCATCTAAACCCTACATGTCTTCTGAAAGTAACTCATAAACCGAAACTGACACACGTACACATACAAGTGTATTTCAATATTATTGTTTAGAATATTATTGATGAATAATTTAATACCGGGGTCACGAGCATATTGATCTGTTGTCTCTGTTCTTATCTGAATGAAGTAGATCATATGGCCGCTCTGTGTTCTGTTAACAAGTAAGACAATTAGTAATAGATTGAGATCAATAGAAAATAACAACTGAAATGGTGGTTTGTGGCTGCGGTCGGGATTTAAAGGAATACTTTACCCCCAAATTACCATTTTCAGATCATCTTGAATTTGATAACTCAAGATGACTCCACGGTGAACAAGGAATCCCAAAATGGAGAAAAGTCATAATGAATGTTAAATTAATTGGGGCCGTGTTTTACAACAGTAGAAATATATTAAAACATCCGTTAACTAACTCGAACACAACTAATGCAGTATAGTCCAAATGTCATTTATTGTATGCTCACTACTTCCCTAAAACATGCATTCTGCTTAAACCTCACCGTTTAAAACACTTCTGCAGAAAGAGACGAGCTCCTCTTTTCTCAAGAACAGTTAATGCCGAAGTGTTTAGATGAGTAATGTTTTAGGGAAGTTATGAGCAAATGAATTCAAGGTAACTCAGGGTATGTAATAATATAACAATGATCATTTCAAGGGATAAAGAAATTATTTCAAAAATAAATGTCAGTATTTGCTAGTGGAGCCTCGCAGCCCGGCGACACTGTAGGTGCGCCGCGGGGGGGAATCGCAAATGGACGCCCCTTCCCGCTTCCATTTGCGATGTCTCGCTGTCTCGCAGCAAGCAGGAAACCACACCAGTCAGCCGGCTCCTCGCAGCAGCGAGCCAGTGGGCGAGCTGACCAATCAGAGCAGGGGGGGGGCAGGAGCTCCAACAAGGCGTGTAGGACAGAGAGTGAATACCATATAGTCTATGGTGAATACACATACTATACACAGAGATGCTGTATGAGAAACCAATCTGAGTTTGGAAAATTGCACATTTCATTTCAAACCTTTAATTATCCAGGTGTATCCCATTGAGATCTTTGATCTCTTTTTCAAGGGAGACCTGCTCAAGTAGTTCCACATGAAACATAAAAACATAAACAGAACAACAAAAAGGACATCATACAGCATCATTACATAACTATCCACATGAGCAGGTACCAACAGCTTCCGATTGAGTAGCATCCAACCGAGCTTTAAAAACATTTAGTGGCACCAGATTGCTCAGTTTCCATTTAATTTGCAGACTATTCCAAGACAGAGGAGCTGCGCATCTAAAAGCTGTCTTCCCTAAGACAGTCCTAGCAGTTGGCACATTTAATAAAACCACAGCATGCGATCTCAGGCAGTAGCCACTTACAATTCACCGTGAGATCAGGGAGCAGATATAAGATGGAAGTTTCCCTAACATGGCTTGTATATAAAAATGTACCAGTGACTGAGCCTCCGTACAGTTAGTGAAAGCAAACCAGCCCTTGCATACAGGGTACAGTGATGCGTTAATGCTTTACAGTTTGTAACAAATCTCAGTGCGCTGTGATACGCAGCATCTAACTTGACCAGGCAATGGGCAGGTGCATTCATATACATCAAATCACCATAGTCCAGCACAGGTAAAAAGGTCACAGTGACTAGCCTTTTCCTGGCTTCAACAATGGAATTATGATCAGTAGAAATGGCCATGTCATGGGACCTTTAAGTTAAAAAGCCTTCATCAAAGAGTCACACCTTAACCTTCAGTGACTGGATCAAGTTTTTAAAACACACACATGGTGAAACTAAGATTTGTAATCTACACATAGTAACTTTTGATTGTTTGTTTTTTTCAACAGCAATGCTGGATGGTGGTCCTTCTGCAGAAAAAACAATCGATGCTAGAACTGGAGGAAATATTACAGTTCGATGCAATATTATTCACTATAGAGCCGACAAGTACTTCTGCAAGGAAGAATGTAAAAAAGGAGACAATCTTGTTGAAACGATTAGTAAATCAGATCAGGAAAATGGCAGATACAGGATCAGATATACTCAAATAATTCCAACAGGATATTTTCTGTATGTGAGCATCAACCAGCTGACCCAGTCTGACTCAGGATGGTACAGGTGTGGTCTGGGCAGACCTGACTCTAAAGATCTATACCAGAGGTTTAGGCTCATCGTCACTGATGGTGAGTTTCTGCTTGATAATGAAAATGTTTGTTCATGTCTCTGAAGACAGTTTTCACTGACAGCTGCTGATGCTTTAAACTCTCAATTCAGTTCAGCCGACACACACAGACACTCAGGAGGATCTCATTTCTCTCATCAGGACTTCTTTGTATCTGCTTGTTTTTGTTCACAGCTCTGACCACTTCTCCTAAAACTACAGAGCAGCCTGAAACAACTAAAGGTACATCCACACACTGTGTTTACTAGATAATGTTTAAACAACTTGTGAGACATGAAAGAGCATGAGAATGTCCAAAAGTTTACAAAAGTAGATTTTAAAATGCTGAACCTCCTAATCAGGTTCCCAGTGTTGAAAAGATTTACTCTATTTCGACAGTATAAGGCAAATACTGTTGACCTGTTGTCTTCACCTAAAGATAACATGTCCCCCCCTTGAAAAACAAAATGGATTATGGGTACTCTGAGTGTTAGATGTCATGGTTTACATTTAACTCTTCAAACACCCACAGGTGTGATCCTGTATGTGTTTCTGACTCTGGTCGTCCTGGTCATCGTGTCATCCCTGTCTGTGCTGGTATTCTGCAGGAAGAGGATTTGTAAAGACAAAGGTGAGGAACCAGGTAACACACACACACACCACACACACACACACACACACTCACACTCACACTCACACTCACACTCACACTCACACTCACACTCACACTCACACTCACACTCACACTCACACTCACACTCACACCCACACACACACACACTCACACCCAAACAGACACACACTCTAAACATTTCTCACTGAAAAGTTGTAGTTTTCTCTTGACCTATATTAACTTTAAAAGCAGACGCACAATTCTAAAATAGCTTAGAAAATAGCAACACCAGACTGGGTGTACGGATATTAATTTACAGCATTTAAATTAACCCAACTGCTGCTCAGTCTAAAGGTGTTGTTATCAGCGGTTCTTGTAGAGCGATAATCCTTCAGTTGTTGCTAGGAAACAGGTGCTAGATTTATGCTTTGTCAGTTGCAACATCACGAACATAGAACATATAGTAGTACTATCTACTGTATGCAACTAAACAATAATACCATATGAAAAAAACCACACATTTAAATCTATATCACACCTGACTGCAAATCAGCCTATCTACAAAACCTATGCCATTTATAAAAATAAGCTTTTTACAAACACACACAAATAGAGAGAGCTGAGAGGATAGCTTCCTCTATTTTGGAGACTCAGTGAAGTCAGATCTGAGGCTTTTTTTAAGTTAATATGCATTTTAGAAACATGTACAGCCATAGCTCATTGTAACCTTATTTTATATACTTATTCAATTTGTTTTAATAGTTTACATTTGGCAGGATGGTTAATGATTAAATATACTGTATATGCTGTTGTTTACTGTGACGGCTGTCAACTCTCCGGTCCTGGTAATTCTGTTTTGCTGTATATGTATGTAAATGAGCTGTGTGGTTGCCCCAACGTCATTGGCTGCCATCTCCTGGTCCGCCTCCGAGGACACTGATTGGAGCACGCCGGGCTCGACGCACTCCAATCCCTGTGCAGCCCCAGCGCACACCTTCCGGAGATGACTACAAAAGGCGCATTCACACCGCAGTACTTTTCCCACAAAGGTTCCTGAGAATTTAGTTCATGAGAACTCTTTAGTTCTCATGAACCCACTAGGGATGAGGAAGGTAACACACACCAGATGGTTTTGGTAATAATTATAAAAGGGTTTAATGAATAACAACAAAAAGGTGCACAACAAAATGAGAACAAAAGTATCCTAAGCCAACAAAGGAGCCAAAAGGGCGCAGGTATACTGCTAAATAACAGAAGGAGGACTCTAAAGGTGAGCCTAATCACACACCTGTAATCACTATCAATCACCACTAATAGAAGGAGGCTGCGGGGAAATGCAGCTAACAAAGGGAAAACTACACACACTACTCCAAACACATATATCAACACGCTACTCTAAGCACATATATCAACACTAAACACGGATCACACAAGTTCTAATAAGTCTAACGTGTCCACGACACAGGAGCAAAATGAGTGAGGCGTCTGATCGCAGCAGAGCCTCCCGAGTGATAGGTGTCCCCAGGCTTTGTAGTCATCTCCGGAAGGTGTGCGCTGGGGCTGCACGGGGATTGGAGTGCGTCAAGCCCGGCGTGCTCCAATCAGTGTTCTCGGAGGCGGACCAGGAGATGGCAGCCAATGACGTTGGGGCAACTACACAGCTCATTTACATACATATACAGCAAAACAGAATTACCAGGACCGTAGAGGCGACAGACGTCATATTTACAAACTCAAAAACACATCTATTTATCTTGTTTTACTCTGATTTTAACGGTTGGCCCTAAATATTGTTTCAAATGGGGAATGTGTGATGTCATGTTTGAAAATCTGTTCTGATTCTTTTTCTCAAAGTACTGTTGTGTTTTTCAGAACCTCATGTGGAAACACTATGTGCTTCTGCACCAGAGGTGAGTTTGAGAAAATAGACTAACAGACCTCTAGACCAACAAAGTGTACAAGGGTCTATGTGAGATCTCCTGGGGAAATCTCTTCAATTTACACTTACGCCAAATAAACACAACCAAGTTGACCCAATGATTACTACAACGATGTCTCTGCAGCTAGTTTACAAAATACACCCAAAAAGTTATACAATTTTAACTTTGGGATCACGAAACATCAGCTCGATACGGCTACATTTTTTTTCATATTTACTGAAATACCAGATCTCGGACAGATTCTGCAGTAATATACGTGTAAATGAAAAAAATACCTAAACAAACACAACTCTTTTTCAGTTTTGTATTAAGTTACTTCACAACCAAGTCCAGTTCCTTGTTTTGTTCTGTTGTTAAAGACACATTTAATCAAGCAATGCTTTTCCCTCCAGGCTGAAGACGACCCGAGTCAACACACCTACTCTGAGATAACATTTGTCAGCGTCGGCTCGTCCCACAGCGGGTTTTCTGAGTGTGTTATCTACTCTGTTCCTCGGGTGGAAGCTAGCTCTGATGAGCCCCCTCTGTACTCTACTGTTAACAACCCCCAATAACTCTCACAGTCTGGCAGAAGAAGCTGGTGTGGATTAAGCAGCCGTGTAAATATTCTGAAACAGAGAGATGTTTGTGGGAATATGTACAATTATCTAACCATTTACTTATTTCAAACCTGCTTTGAATGACCTGCTCATGTGATGATAAGTCCAGTTCTGCTCTAGTTCACAAACGTGCCTCTTCAACAGTTTGCTTCAGGTCAAAGCTGGTTGCACTTATTGTACGTCCCTTTGGATAAAAGCCTCAGCTAAACGATATTTAATGTAAAAAGCTCTTTTATGGCTTCAATTTATTTATAAAGTTCATTTTATTACACTTGATATGGTTTTAAAGTTATCTCTGTAAGATATACTGTTCTAGTCAAGTTAGCAGATTAGCATAAGATATGTTGCTCCGAATTAGCTTTGACTATTAAATTGACTATTTTGGTTAAAGACTTCATAAATGTTTAATTATAACGGAATGTAAATAAATAGATATGAAACTAGATGTGGTCAGTACGGGATACAAGATGCCACTCCTCATACTGTTGCATAATGTGTCAGACTTCTAACCTGTTTGTATTGTTGATATATATATATATATATATTTGCACCTTTTTTTATAGTTTTATTTTTGATATTGCATTTCATATTAGCACTTGTCCTGCTCTGTACTGCATCTGCTTCACAACACAATTTCTACATATACAAATAAAAGTTATCTTAAATTATTTCTGAAATGTGTTTGACAATAATTTAATAATTAAAAGCTATATGAAGTGAAACCATACGTGATACACATGCAGGTGTTAGAGGAGAGTCAAGCTGTGAGTGTTTTATTTTAAGCAGGGACTCCATCGTTTAGAGAAGTGAAAACGTGTTGGTTTGCCGGTGAAGAAGAAAGAGAGACAGCGTTCAACCATCAGAGACTCGAACATGGACGTCTGCCACCGTTTGATCTTCTTCGTTCTCAGTGAGTACACTTTGTAGTTCTGTCATTTCTCTATAACGTCATCTTCCTTTCTGTATTTCATGTTAAACTCCCCAGCTGTATGACCATCAGCTGTTTGTTTGTGTGGGTAAAGGTGTGACCAGCCATGAATATGAGTCACATTATTTTTATTTAACATAAAAAACGTATGAGCATATTCCTAATGTATCTGTAATCAACAACTTTTTTTACCTTCATCCAAAGGTTTTACAATATAATTGCAATCAACCATGAGGATACCAATTCAGCAACAATCTACAAACACATACGCTTTCAAATACATTTCTAATAGCCAGGTTAGTTTTTATAGTCTCACTTTGTAGTTTTCACATTGGTTCTGCTGAGACTTCACACAGGAAACTACCTCTCTAACACAATAAGCAAAAAGCGTTGTTACGATGTGAGGTGCAGGTGAAAGAACGATACGTGGAGAGAGGGTTTTCTTGCAAAAAATAAACAGACGTTTTATTCTTAGCCTTCCACATTATTCCACAGAAACACAAACTGCATGCCTGGTGCTGCATTCACCAGCAAGGAACAAACACAAAAACGAATGCCCCTTCCCCTCTCTTCCCAACCACATTTATAGAAGACTGCCCGCCTTCCCACTCCAACCTGGCCAATCAGGTCATGGTTCTGAAAGCGGAGTGAAGGGTTAATTACAAAATTAAACATTGTTGTCTACCTTTAATAAAACCCTAAAGGCTTAAGTAAATTCATTATTGCATCGCCATAAATATTATACCTTCAAGAACAACAAGGTCTGCTTAAAACGGATAGTTTTTAACCTAATTGACACTCATAAAATCACACATTTCCTGACCAATCGCGTCCAAGACTCCGCCTACTCATACGGCACATATAAGGAGTACTTTGGAGGCGTGCTCCCCCTTTGAGCACTGGGACAAGATGGCCTCCAGGTCTGAACAAAGGAAATGGTGATTACTTGGTGCTTGTGTGTTTTTACAAACTGACGAATTTAGACGCATTTTATTAGTTTGTCTATGTAAACTGTTTTTTATAACTTTAACTGAAATAAAGACAACTCAGAAAAAAACATGTACTACCTTTCTTAAAACAAATAGTTAAGACCAACATGTTAGTGAGGGAGTGCACTTCCTCACAAGCGTTCACGGAGAAACCTGCTAGAGGCTCCCAAAATAAATCTTTCTCAGGAAGTCTCTGCAAATGCTTGTGTTGACTTCAGGGTTGATTAATCAGTCAATATGCCCTCTTAGATTTAGAACTCCAGGGTTCATTCACTTGCTTTTTCTGGAGATTTCAACATGCGGTGGTGGCGAAGTGGGGCAGTGGTGGCGAAGTCCATAGGGACTTGGCTTGGCAACTGGAAGGTCACCAGTTCAAGTCCCGGAAAGACCCAGTGCTACCAAAGTGTCCCTGAGCAAGGCACTACATTGCTCCCCGGGCGCCGTACATAATGGCAGCCCACTGCTCCTAACACTAGGATGGGTCAAATGCAGAGAAACCGTTTTGTTACATGGTACCTGTACTGTGTAATGACAATAAGTTGAATCTATCTATCTATGTAACCATCTTATTGGTTGTCATGGAGAAAGGGGGGGTTTCAAATTAATTCAGCAAATTGAATTGCATTGACTTAAAAAATGTGATCAACTAATGTAAATATGACATATGTTTATTTTACGACAGAAAATTCAAATGTAACAGCTTCTAGTTTGACTTAATGTATGAACAGTTCAACTCTCTGTTCTACTTAATATATTCATATACTTCACAGTGTACACACATTGACTGTTTATGGGTATTTAATATTATTAATCTTAAATTAAAGTTTTCTTCTTAATGGACTAACAGCTCTTCTCCTGCCTCGGTAAATTAAGCTAGCTCCAGGACTGTTTCCCTTAGCCGTTAAAAAAACGTTATTTTCGGTTTGAATTTAAATGTTAGTACATTACATTTAGAAGTATGAGAACAAAATGTGATGATACTATGGGTGAAATGTTAAAGTTATATTGTGTTTTAAAAATCGACAAACTAAAACATTTTTTAATACGTTTTACAGTGCAGTTTCCGGTGTTAGAAAGTGACGAAGAACGAGCTGCTGCTGCGTTTCATATTGTTGATCTTAGAATGAGCAGAAAGTGATGAATAATATAAGAGCACAGTTTAATTTAGTTTTAACAGTTACATAAAAGTGACACTTTTCAATGGAGAAGGTACAAAGAACATCAGGAGGGCCGTTTTCTTCTTAATATGCTAACCTCACTTCACCTGCCTCAGTAAGTTAAAGGGGACCTATCATGCAAAATGCACTTTTGTACGTCTTTTATACATGAATATGTGTCCCCGGTGTGTCAGGGAAATCACCAAGTGTCAGAAACACAACCCTCTCTCTTTTCCTCCATACCCAAATCTCTAAAAACGGGGCTGCAACGGATCTGATACAGACTGATACAGATTTGAAAATTCTCTGACGTCAGGAACGAGGAGCTCCGCCTATATGGCCAACTCTCCACCTATCAGGGGAATGTGAGGTTGGGCCATTGCCGCTCGAAAGCGCTGGAGACGCTGTAGTACATATGCCAGGCCTGAAAGTGGCGCTGCAGTCTGCCACAAAAGCAGCGAAGAAGACTTCCCGCGCATGGTTGCCCTTCTGTTTATTCTCCGCTGTGGCTCTTTTTCTCCCTCCCCGAGGCAAGCGTTTGCTCCTGCTGCTGTTATTCATTGCAATCCCTCCCACGCTGTAATTCTCTCCGGCGGTAGTCCACCAGCAGATGACAAACACCCACCTTTCCGCCTCTTCCAAGGGACGAGGGGACCGTGCGGCAGAGTTTCAGTTAGATTTGTTGTTGCCGGTCAACATGTTCATTAAAGTTGAAATCTTCCGGACAAAATTAGAAAAGTGCCGGTCAAAGGTCTTCTTTGTTATTTATTGAGCTTTAAAACAAATGAATAATGACTCTATATAATCATATAAGAATAAAACACGGAGGATGGAGATCTCTTTTCCTCCCCCTCTTCTGACAGCCCAGCAGCTGATCTCAGAGCAAGCTCCCCTCTCCTGCAGGGGGGCGTGGTCAGCTACGTCACAGAATCAGCCCCCTGCAAAAACAGGGCTGGAAAGAGCAAATAGAGCAAAATGAGGCATGGCTAAAATGCAGGATCTGTTTGGTATTTTGAAAATATATATATATTTATCTACTTTATATAGGTATGGCCCTACAATATATTGTTCAAATATAGCATGATAGGTCACCTTCAAGCTAGCTCCAGACTGATTCTGTTAGCTGTGTTCTGTTAAAAAATAAATAAATAAAATTAACATTAGGGCAGAGGTGGGAAGTAACTAAGTACATTAACTCAAGTACTGTAAACAATTTTGAGACACTTTGAGATATTTCCATTTTCTAATACTTTTTACTCCACTACAATTTAGAGGTAAATGGTGTACTTTTACTCCACTACATCTATTTATTCTCTTGGTTTAGTTTGCACATTTTGATAGTTAATGTGAAATATAATCAACACTTAAATCAGACTTTAGTTCCACCTGGAGTCAATTCACAAGCTACCCTGCAGCATGCGGAATAACTAAAACTAGCTGCACCTTTACCAGCTTTGATAACACTTTAATGATCAATCATTATAATCAAAACATATATTATTCTGGAATCGGTGAATATGTAATCATTATATTCGTGGTACTTTAAGTATTGAGGCTATTGATGTTACTTTTACTTTAGTAACCTTTAGAATACAGGACTTTTACTTGTAACAGAGTATTCCTACACTGTTACTTCTACTTTGACTTAAGTACAAGACCTGAGTACTTCTTCCTTCTTTCGGGGGAACAATGTGATGAAACTACGGATATAGTTTTGAGTAATATTTGTTTTTCTACTGTTGTCTCAACAACATATACATGAGCAAGTGAGCGTTGTAGTGAAATGATGGAAATTAAAAGTTTACTAATTTTGCCAATATCTGCCTGAATTAAGCTTCCATGTTAACCTTATTTGTACATAACTAACTGGTTCTTTACTTGAGTATTTAAATGCAATGCTTCTAGATTTGATATTTGTTTACTTAACTATAGATATCTGACACTCAGTTAGGCTACTTGTAACGTTTGAAATATGAAACATGATGATATGATGCAGAATGTACTGCTTATATAAAATTGGCTCCACCTTGACACACTACAACATTAAAATGCTCCTACACGTATGTGTTAGACATAAAAACAGAATTATTTATACTATATTAAAACAACACGATGAAAGGAGCTATTATGCATAATTATTACTTTTACTGATACTAAAAGTACATTTTGCTGATATTTACAATTCATTACTTTCAATGGAGTATTTTTAGACCATAGTGTTCCTGCGTTGGGGAGGAGAGGAGAGCTGTGTTGTGTTTGGAGGAGGGACTTCATCATTTAAAGAAGTAACAAGTTCCTGGTTGGCCAGTAAAGAAAGACAGTCAGCGGTAAACCATCAGAGTCTCAGCATGGAAGTCTCTCACACTTTGATCTGCTTCTTCTTCCTCTTCTGTGAGTACTTTATTTTCATCTCAGTAATTTTCTTTTCTGTTATTCTTGAGTTAATGCAAGGCTCCAGCAGTACGAGTTATTCACATATTCCAAAATTAGGCTTTTTAATACCATCCAACCAATGAAGTATGCTTCACTTCCTCAAACTAACTGTACATCATCATCATACTCAGTTATTATCTGCTCACTGAATTAGTAACATGTAGTCATTAAGAAATAATGAATATGATTGTTTTCATAATCATTTAATCTGCAAATAATTTTCTTGATTCATTTATTAATCTTTTGATTTGTATTCTGCCGCTAATGTTATTTTACACTTTTTATCATATTTGTATCTTATTGTATCTTTTAAACATTTATAACTCGCGTACGGCTTGACACTGCTGCTGGAACTAAAATGATTTCCCAATTTGGGATAAATAAAGTTTATATCTATCTATCTAAGTGTTTTGTCCAAAAATGTCATAAATTTAAAAAAAGGTGTTGTTGACATAAAACACTTTTTAGGTGATGTACTTTAAGGATTTGCGTTAATGTAACGCTTAAAGTAAGAGATGGAGACTTCATGTAGTCTTTGTGTCTAAAGGATAAATGTCTCAGACCGAACGGTCACATTAACCTGCAGTGCTGATGGTGATCTTCAGTCAGGCTGTGGTTTAACTCTGAGGATCTGTGTTCATGTGAAACAGGAAGTGTTGTCATCAGACTGCAGCATCTTACAGGAAGTACTGACCACTACTAATGATGGCTCATCTTTTGTTCATCTTTTGTTCAGCTCTGCAGGATGGAAGCACCGGTCTCGTCAGTGCCCGACTCCCTGTCTATTCAGGAATTGAAGGAGACGATGTCAGATTTAAATGCTCCTTTCCTTCTTATAGAAGCAGGAAGTTCTTCTGTAAGGAACCATGTCGACAAAAAGACATTCTCATTGAAACAACTGATGCCCCAGCTCAGAGAGGCAGATACAGCAGTGATGATAAAGATGGAGGTTTTTTTGTCACCATCTCTCAGCTGACCAAGTCTGACTCAGGACGCTACAGGTGTGCTGCGGTTACATCTTTGACAGAGGCTTTATACGAGGATATTGAGATCATCGTTGTTGATGGTGAGTTTCTACTAAAACCTGAATCTTCTTCCTTGTCTTAATAATAGTTTTACCTTTTCCTCATCTAAATCCAACATGTCTTCTGAAAGTAACTCAAACCGAAACTGACACACGTACACATACAAGTGTATTTCAATATTATTGTTTAGAACATTATTGATGAATAATTTAATACCGGGGTCACGAGCATATTGATCTGTTGTCTCTGTTCTTATCTGAATGAAGTAGATCATATGGCCGCTCTGTGTTCTGCTAACAAGTAAGACAATTAGTAATAGATTGAGATCAATAGAAAATAACAACTGAAATGGTGGTTTGTGGCTGCGGTCGGGATTTAAAGGAATACTTTACCCCCAAATTACCATTTTCAGATCATCTTGAATTTGATAACTCAAGATGACTCCACGGTGAACAAGGAATCCCAAAATGGAGAAAAGTCTTAATGAATGTTAAATTAATTGGGGCCTCGTTTTACAACAGCAGAAATATATTAAAACATCCGTTAACTAACTCGAACACAACTAATGCTGTTTAGTCCAAATGTCATTTACTATATGCTCACTACTTCCCTAAAACATGCATTCTGCTTAAACCTCACCGTTTAAAACACTTCTGCAGAAAGAGACGAGCTCCTCTTTTCTCAAGAACAGTTAATGCAGAAGTGTTTAGATTAGTAATGTTTTAGGGAAGTTATGAGCAAATGAATTCAAGGTAACTCAGGGTATGTAATAATATAACAATGATCATTTCAAGGGATAAAGAAATTATTTCAAAAATAAATGTCAGTATTTGCTAGTGGAGCCTCGCAGCCCGGCGACACTGTAGGTGCGCCGCGGGGGGGGGGGAGAATCGCAAATGGACGCCCCTTCCCGCTTCCATTTGCGATGTCTCGCTGTCTCGCAGCAAGCAGGAAACCACACCAGTCAGCCGGCTCCTCGCAGCAGCGAGCCAGTGGGCGAGCTGACCAATCAGAGCAGGGGGGGGGGCAGGAGCTCCAACAAGGCGTGTAGGACAGAGAGTGAATACCATATAGTCTATGGTGAATACACATACTATACACAGAGATGCTGTATGAGAAACCAATCTGAGTTTGGAAAATTGCACATTTCATTTCAAACCTTTAATTATCCAGGTGTATCCCATTGAGATCTTTGATCTCTTTTTCAAGGGAGACCTGCTCAAGTAGTTCCACATGAAACATAAAAACATAAACAGAACAACAAAAAGGACATCATACAGCATCATTTACATAACTATCCACATGAGCAGGTACCAACAGCTTCCGATTGAGTAGCATCCAACCGAGCTTTAAAAACATTTAGTGGCACCAGATTGCTCAGTTTCGATTTAATTTGCAGACTATTCCAAGACAGAGGAGCTGCGCATCTAAAAGCTGTCTTCCCTAAGACAGTCCTAGCAGTTGGCACATTTAATAAAACCACAGCATGCGATCTCAGGCAGTAGCCACTTACAATTCACCGTGAGATCAGGGAGCAGATATAAGATGGAAGTTTCCCTAACATGGCTTTGTATATAAAAATGTACCAGTGACTGAGCCTCCATACAGTTAGTGAAAGCAAACCAGCCCTTGCATACAGGGTACAGTGATGCGTTAATGCTTTACAGTTTGTAACAAATCTCAGTGCGCTGTGATACGCAGCATCTAACTTGACCAGGCAATGGGCAGGTGCATTCATATACATCAAATCACCATAGTCCAGCACAGGTAAAAAGGTCACAGTGACTAGCCTTTTCCTGGCTTCAACAATGGAATTATGATCAGTAGAAATGGCCATGTCATGGGACCTTTAAGTTAAAAAGCCTTCATCAAAGAGTCACACCTTAACCCTCAGTGACTGGATCAAGTTTTTAAAACACACACATGGTGAAACTAAGATTTGTAATCTACACATAGTAACTTTTGATTGTTGTTTTTTCAACAGCAATGCTGGATGGTGGTCCTTCTGCAGAAAAAACAATCGATGCTAGAACTGGAGGAAATATTACAGTTCGATGCAATATTATTCACTATAGAGCCGACAAGTACTTCTGCAAGGAAGAATGTAAAAAAGGAGACAATCTTGTTGAAACGATTAGTAAATCAGATCAGGAAAATGGCAGATACAGGATCAGATATACTCAAATAATTCCAACAGGATATTTTCTGTATGTGAGCATCGACCAGCTGACCCAGTCTGACTCAGGATGGTACAGGTGTGGTCTGGGCAGACCTGACTCTAAAGATCTATACGAGAGGTTTAGGCTCATCGTCACTGATGGTGAGTTTCTGCTTGATAATGAAAATGTTTGTTCATGTCTCTGAAGACAGTTTTCACTGACAGCTGCTGATGCTTTAAACTCTCAATTCAGTTCAGCTGACACACACAGACACTCAGGAGGATCTCATTTCTCTCATCAGGACTTCTTTGTATCTGCTTGTTTTTGTTCACAGCTCTGACCACTTCTCCTAAAACTACAGAGCAGCCTGAAACAACTAAAGGTACATCCACACACTGTGTTTACTAGATAACGTTTAAACAACTTGTGAGACATGAAAGAGCATGAGAATGTCCAAAAGTTTACAAAAGTAGATTTTAAAATGCTGAACCTCCAAATCAGGTTCCCAGTGTTGAAAAGATTTACTCTATTTCGACAGTATAAGGCAAATACTGTTGACCTGTTGTCTTCACCTAAAGATAACATGTCCCCCCCTTGAAAAACAAAATGGATTATGGGTACTCTGAGTGTTAGATTTGTCATGGTTTACATTTAACTCTTCAAACACCCACAGGTGTGATCCTGTATGTGTTTCTGACTCTGGTCGTCCTGGTCATCGTGTCATCACTGTCTGTGCTGGTATTCTGCAGGAAGAGGATTTGTAAAGACAAAGGTGAGGAACCAGGTAACACACACACTCACACACACACACACACACACACACACACACACACACACACACACACACACACACACACACACACACACACACACACACACACACAAACACACACACACACACACACACACACACACACACACACACACACACACACACACACACACACACACACACACACACACACACACACACACACACACACACACACACACACACACACACACACACACACACACACACACCCAAACAGACACACACTCTAAACATTTCTCACTGAAAAGTTGTAGTTTTCTCTTGACCTATATTAACTTTAAAAGCAGACGCACAATTCTAAAATAGCTTAGAAAATAGCAACACCAGACTGGGTGTACGGATATTAATTTACAGCATTTAAATTAACCCAACTGCTGCTCAGTCTAAAGGTGTTGTTATCAGCGGTTCTTGTAGAGCGATAATCCTTCAGTTGTTGCTAGGAAACAGGTGCTAGATTTATGCTTTGTCAGTTGCAACATCACGAACATAGAACATATAGTAGTACTATCTACTGTATGCAACTAAACAATAATACCATATGAAAAAAACCACACATTTAAATCTATATCACACCTGACTGCAAATCAGCCTATCTACAAAAACCTATGCCATTTATAAAAATAAGCTTTTTACAAACACACACAAATAGAGAGAGCTGAGAGGATAGCTTCCTCTATTTTGGAGACTCAGTGAAGTCAGATCTGAGGCTTTTTTTAAGTTAATATGCATTTTAGAAACATGTACAGCCATAGCTCATTGTAACCTTATTTTATATACTTATTCAATTTGTTTTAATAGTTTACATTTGGCAGGATGGTTAATGATTAAATATACTGTATATGCTGTTGTTTACTGTGACGGCTGTCAACTCTCCAGTCCTGGTAATTCTGTTTTGCTGTATATGTATGTAAATGAGCTGTGTGGTTGCCCCAACGTCATTGGCTGCCATCTCCTGGTCCGCCTCCGAGGACACTGATTGGAGCACGCCGGGCTCGACGCACTCCAATCCCTGTGCAGCCCCAGCGCACACCTTCCGGAGATGACTACAAAAGGCGCATTCACACCGCAGTACTTTTCCCACAAAGGTTCCTGAGAATTTAGTTCATGAGAACTCTTTAGTTCTCATGAACCCACTAGGGATGAGGAAGGTAACACACACCAGATGGTTTTGGTAATAATTATAAAAGGGTTTAATGAATAACAACAAAAAGGTGCACAACAAAATGAGAACAAAAGTATCCTAAGCCAAACAAAGGAGCCAAAAGGGCGCAGGTATACTGCTAAATAACAGAAGGAGGACTCTAAAGGTGAGCCTAATCACACACCTGTAATCACTATCAATCACCACTAATAGAAGGAGGCTGCGGGGAAATGCAGCTAACAAAGGGAAAACTACACACACTACTCCAAACACATATATCAACACGCTACTCTAAGCACATATATCAACACTAAACACGGATCACACAAGTTCTAATAAGTCTAACGTGTCCACGACACAGGAGCAAAATGAGTGAGGCGTCTGATCGCAGCAGAGCCTCCCGAGTGATAGGTGTCCCCAGGCTTTGTAGTCATCTCCGGAAGGTGTGCGCTGGGGCTGCACGGGGATTGGAGTGCGTCAAGCCCGGCGTGCTCCAATCAGTGTTCTCGGAGGCGGACCAGGAGATGGCAGCCAATGACGTTGGGGCAACTACACAGCTCATTTACATACATATACAGCAAAACAGAATTACCAGGACCGTAGAGGCGACAGACGTCATATTTACAAACTCAAAACACATCTATTTATCTTGTTTTACTCTGATTTTAACGGTTGGTCTAAATATTGTTTCAAATGGGGAATGTGTGATGTCATGTTTGAAAATCTGTTCTGATTCTTTTTCTCAAAGTACTGTTGTGTTTTTCAGAACCTCATGTGGAAACACTATGTGCTTCTGCACCAGAGGTGAGTTTGAGAAAATAGACTAACAGACCTCTAGACCAACAAAGTGTACAAGGGTCTATGTGAGATCTCCTGGGGAAATCTCTTCAATTTACACTTACGCCAAATAAACACAACCAAGTTGACCCAATGATTACTACAACGATGTCTCTGCAGCTAGTTTACAAAATACACCCAAAAAGTTATACAATTTTAACTTTGGGATCACGAAACATCAGCTCGATACGGCTACATTTTTTTCATATTTACTGAAATACCAGATTTGGCTTTGATTCATCTCGGACAGATTCTGCAGTAATATACGTGTAAATGAAAAAAATACCTAAACAAACACAACTCTTTTTCAGTTTTGTATTAAGTTACTTCACAACCAAGTCCAGTTCCTTGTTTTGTTCTGTTGTTAAAGACACATTTAATCAAGCAATGCTTTTCCCTCCAGGCTGAAGACGACCCGAGTCAACACACCTACTCTGAGATAACATTTGTCAGCGTCGGCTCGTCCCACAGCGGGTTTTCTGAGTGTGTTATCTACTCTGTTCCTCGGGTGGAAGCTAGCTCTGATGAGCCCCCTCTGTACTCTACTGTTAACAACCCCCAATAACTCTCACAGTCTGGCAGAAGAAGCTGGTGTGGATTAAGCAGCCGTGTAAATATTCTGAAACAGAGAGATGTTTGTGGGAATATGTACAATTATCTAACCATTTACTTATTTCAAACCTGCTTTGAATGACCTGCTCATGTGATGATAAGTCCAGCTCTGCTCTAGTTCACAAACGTGCCTCTTCAACAGTTTGCTTCAGGTCAAAGCTGGTTGCACTTATTGTACGTCCCTTTGGATAAAAGCCTCAGCTAAACGATATTTAATGTAAAAAGCTCTTTTATGGCTTCAATTTATTTATAAAGTTCATTTATTACACTTGATATGGTTTTAAAGTTATCTCTGTAAGATATACTGTTCTAGTCAAGTTAGCAGATTAGCATAAGATATGTTGCTCCGAATTAGCTTTGACTATTAAATTGACTATTTTGGTTAAAGACTTCATAAATGTTTAATTATAACGGAATGTAAATAAATAGATATGAAACTAGATGTGGTCAGTACGGGATACAAGATGCCACTCCTCATACTGTTGCATAATGTGTCAGACTTCTAACCTGTTTGTATTGTTGATATATATATATATATATATTTGCACCTTTTTTTATAGTTTTATTTTTGATATTGCATTTCATATTAGCACTTGTCCTGCTCTGTACTGCATCTGCTTCACAACACAATTTCTACATATACAAATAAAAGTTATCTTAAATTATTTCTGAAATGTGTTTGACAATAATTTAATAATTTAAAAGCTATATGAAGTGAAACCATACGTGATACACATGCAGGTGTTAGAGGAGAGTCAAGCTGTGAGTGTTTTATTTTAAGCAGGGACTCCATCGTTTAGAGAAGTGAAAACGTGTTGGTTTGCCGGTGAAAGAAAGAGAGACAGCGTTCAACCATCAGAGACTCGAACATGGACATCTGCCACCGTTTGATCTTCTTCGTTCTCAGTGAGTACACTTTGTAGTTCTGTCATTTCTCTATAACGTCATCTTCCTTTCTGTATTTCATGTTAAACTCCCCAGCTGTATGACCATCAGCTGTTTGTTTGTGTGGGTAAAGGTGTGACCAGCCATGAATATGAGTCACATTATTTTTATTTAACATAAAAACGTATGAGCATATTCCTAATGTATCTGTAATCAACAACTTTTTTTACCTTCATCCAAAGGTTTTTACAATATAATTGCAATCAACCATGAGGATACCAATTCAGCAACAATCTACAAACACATACGCTTTCAAATACATTTCTAATAGCCAGGTTAGTTTTTATAGTCTCACTTTGTAGTTTTCACATTGGTTCTGCTGAGACTTCACACAGGAAACTACCTCTCTAACACAATAAGCAAAAAGCGTTGTTACGATGTGAGGTGCAGGTGAAAGAACGATACGTGGAGAGAGGGTTTTCTTGCAAAAAATAAACAGACGTTTTATTCTTAGCCTTCCACATTATTCCACAGAAACACAAACTGCATGCCTGGTGCTGCATTCACCAGCAAGGAACAAACACAAAAACGAATGCCCCTTCCCCTCTCTTCCCAACCACATTTATAGAAGACTGCCCGCCTTCCCACTCCAACCTGGCCAATCAGGTCATGGTTCTGAAAGCGGAGTGAAGGGTTAATTACAAAATTAAACATTGTTGTCTACCTTTAATAAAACCCTAAAGGCTTAAGTAAATTCATTATTGCATCGCCATAAATATTATACCTTCAAGAACAACAAGGTCTGCTTAAAACGGATAGTTTTTAACCTAATTGACACTCATAAATCACACATTTCCTGACCAATCGCGTCCAAGACTCCGCCTACTCATACGGCACATATAAGGAGTACTTTGGAGGCGTGCTCCCCCTTTGAGCACTGGGACAAGATGGCCTCCAGGTCTGAACAAAGGAAATGGTGATTACTTGGTGCTTGTGTGTTTTACAAACTGACGAATTTAGACGCATTTTATTAGTTTGTCTATGTAAACTGTTTTTATAACTTTAACTGAAATAAAGACAACTCAGAAAAAAACATGTACTACCTTTCTTAAAACAAATAGTTAAGACCAACATGTTAGTGAGGGAGTGCACTTCCTCACAAGCGTTCACGGAGAAACCTGCTAGAGGCTCCCAAAATAAATCTTTCTCAGGAAGTCTCTGCAAATGCTTGTGTTGACTTCAGGGTTGATTAATCAGTCAATATGCCCTCTTAGATTTAGAACTCCAGGGTTCATTCACTTGCTTTTTCTGGAGATTTCAACATGCGGTGGTGGCGAAGTGGGGCAGTGGTGGCGAAGTCCATAGGGACTTGGCTTGGCAACTGGAAGGTCACCAGTTCAAGTCCCGGAAAGACCCAGTGCTACCAAAGTGTCCCTGAGCAAGGCACCGTTCCCTACATTGCTCCCCGGGCGCCGTACATAATGGCAGCCCACTGCTCCTAACACTAGGATGGGTCAAATGCAGAGAAACCGTTTTGTTACATGGTACCTGTACTGTGTAATGACAATAAGTTGAATCTATCTATCTATGTAACCATCTTATTGGTTGTCATGGAGAAAGGGGGGGGTTTCAAATTAATTCAGCAAATTGAATTGCATTGACTTAAAAAATGTGATCAACTAATGTAAATATGACATATGTTTATTTTACGACAGAAAATTCAAATGTAACAGCTTCTAGTTTGACTTAATGTATGAACAGTTCAACTCTCTGTTCTACTTAATATATTCATATACTTCACAGTGTACACACATTGACTGTTTATGGGTATTTAATATTATTAATCTTAAATTAAAGTTTTCTTCTTAATGGACTAACAGCTCTTCTCCTGCCTCGGTAAATTAAGCTAGCTCCAGGACTGTTTCCCTTAGCCGTTAAAAAACGTTATTTTCGGTTTGAATTTAAATGTTAGTACATTACATTTAGAAGTATGAGAACAAAATGTGATGATACTATGGGTGAAATGTTAAAGTTATATTGTGTTTTAAAAATCGACAAACTAAAACATTTTTTAATACGTTTTACAGTGCAGTTTCCGGTGTTAGAAAGTGACGAAGAACGAGCTGCTGCTGCGTTTCATATTGTTGATCTTAGAATGAGCAGAAACTGATGAATAATATAAGAGCACAGTTTAATTTAGTTTTAACAGTTACATAAAAGTGACACTTTTCAATGGAGAAGGTACAAAGAACATCGGGAGGGGCCGTTTCTTCTTAATATGCTAACCTCACTTCACCTGCCTCAGTAAGTTAAAGGGGACCTATCATGCAAAATGCACTTTTGTACGTCTTTTATACATGAACATGTGTCCCCGGTGTGTCAGGGAACTCACCAAGTGTCAGAAACACAACCCTCTCTCTTTTCCTCCATACCCAAATCTCTAAAAACGGGGCTGCAACGGATCTGATACAGACTGATACAGATTTGAAAATTCTCTGACGTCAGGAACGAGGAGCTCCGCCTATATGGCCAACTCTCCACCTATCAGGGGAATGTGAGGTTGGGCCATTGCCGCTCGAAAGCGCTGGAGACGCTGTAGTACATATGCCAGGCCTGAAAGTGGCGCTGCAGTCTGCCACAAAAGCAGCGAAGAAGACTTCCCGCGCATGGTTGCCCTTCTGTTTATTCTCCGCTGTGGCTCTTTTTCTCCCTCCCCGAGGCAAGCGTTTGCGTTTCCTGCTGCTGTTATTCATTGCAATCCCTCCCACGCTGTAATTCTCTCCGGCGGTAGTCCACCAGCAGATGACAAACACCCACCTTTCCGCCTCTTCCAAGGGACGAGGGGACCGTGCGGCAGAGTTTCAGTTCGATTTGTTGTTGCCGGTCAACATGTTCATTAAAGTTGAAATCTTCCGGACAAAATTAGAAAAGTGCCGGTCAAAGGTCTTCTTTGTTATTTATTGAGCTTTAAAACAAATGAATAATGACTCTATATAATCATATAAGAATAAAACACGGAGGATGGAGATCTCTTTTCCTCCCCCTCTTCTGACAGCCCAGCAGCTGATCTCAGAGCAAGCTCCCCTCTCCTGCAGGGGGGCGTGGTCAGCTACGTCACAGAATCGGCCCCCTGCAAAAACAGGGCTGGAAAGAGCAAATAGAGCAAAATGAGGCATGGCTAAAATGCAGGATCTGTTTGGTATTTTGAAAATATATATATATTTATCTACTTTATATAGGTATGGCCCTACAATATATTGTTCAAATATAGCATGATAGGTCACCTTCAAGCTAGCTCCAGACTGATTCTGTTAGCTGTGTTCTGTTAAAAAATAAATAAATAAAATTAACATTAGGGCAGAGGTGGGAAGTAACTAAGTACATTAACTCAAGTACTGTAAACAATTTTGAGATACTTTGAGATATTTCCATTTTCTAATACTTTTTACTCCACTACAATTTAGAGGTAAATGGTGTACTTTTACTCCACTACATCTATTTATTCTCTTGGTTTAGTTTGCACATTTTGATAGTTAATGTGAAATATAATCAACACTTAAATCAGACTTTAGTTCCACCTGGAGTCCAATTCACAAGCTACCCTGCAGCATGTGGAATAACTCAAAACTAGCTGCACCTTACCAGCTTTGGTAACACTTTAATGATCAATCATTATAATCAAAACATATATTATTCTGGAATCGGTGAATATGTAATCATTATATTTTTGGTACTTTAAGTATTGAGGCTATTGATGTTACTTTTACTTTAGTAACCTTTAGAATACAGGACTTTTACTTGTAACAGAGTATTCCTACACTGTTACTTCTACTTTGACTTAAGTACAAGACCTGAGTACTTCTTCCTTCTTTCGGGGGGAACAATGTGATGAAAACTACGGATATAGTTTTGAGTAATATTTGTTTTTCTACTGTTGTCTCAACAACATATACATGAGCAAGTGAGCGTTGTAGTGAAATGATGGAAATTAAAAGTTTACTAATTTTGCCAATATCTGCCTGAATTAAGCTTCCGTGTTAACCTTATTTGTACATAACTAACTGGTTCTTTACTTGAGTATTTAAATGCAATGCTTCTAGATTTGATATTTGTTTACTCAACTATAGATATCTGACACTCAGTTAGGCTACTTGTAACGTTTGAAATATGAAACATGATGATATGATGCAGAATGTACTGCTTATATAAAATTGGCTCCACCTTGACACACTACAACATTAAAATGCTCCTACACGTATGTGTTAGACATAAAAACAGAATTATTTATACTATATTAAAACAACACGATGAAAGGAGCTATTATGCATAATTATTACTTTTACTG